CCTTATTGCCCTTCTCTGAACTCACTCCAAATTGTCTATATCCATTTAAAAATGCCAGTAGCTAGATACAAGAGTCTGGGGAAATGTAGTCCAAAAAGATGAGATTTCCAAACTCTGCCTCTGAAACTGAACTACATTCTACCCCTACAATAGTTAGAAAGCCGTTTTAAATGGAATAGTTTCTGATATAGACTTGTGTTATACTTTACCTCTCACGTCTCCTTGTTGTTTAGGGACAGGTCCTACTCAGGGCCGTGCCTTCTTCTCGTTTCTCTCAATTCCTGGCTTGGTACTCATGAAGGTCTAGGATTTCAAGGTGAACAAATGAATGTTTATAAAGATCAAATCCTCTCTCTCTTTGAATATGAAAGTGTTTTTATCACATGCATTTCATGCGTTAATTCAACATTGTGGTCTAACTGGCACACATACAGAGAGTTCAGGCCATCTCATATTGCCAAAGGGTTTAACGATATTTAATTATTTTGAAATATCTATACCTCACATTTTCTCTTAAAAGTTTAAGATGGCCAAGTGCAAAAACACTAAACATAAAAAATAAACCAAGTAGAAATGTTTACAACACATATGCTAAACATGAAAATGCCAGCATAACATAAGAATACAATATGAATTAATATATTTAAACTATGAGAAAAAAAAGACAAATTAAAAATATCCAGTTAAAATCATAAACTACATGTCATTTTAAAAGAGAAGGCATTTCCCAGCTCCCAAGTTCATCCATCAGGATGTAAGGCCAGTCTCTCTTGCAAGGGAGTTTCAGGACCTAGAATTCGGTCAGGATTATTTGCCATGTTGGCTTTGGTTGCTGGGACTTGCAGTTCCTTAATATCAGGAAGGTCACATCCTTCCCCTTCCTGAGGCACCTAGACACCAGGGGCCTCATAAAACTAATTCAATGGGTGGGCTGGCCTGCATGAGAGCAGATTATCTTTCAGTCATTTTGCTGATAAATTAAGCCATTCAAGGATTTAAAGGTAATCAGCAGCATGTTGTATTATACTACCTGGAAACAAAATGCAAGGATCTCCACATCAATCTGCTTCACTTATGGGGATCCTGTCAACAATCCGATTACAACAGACTGATTACATTTTCCAAATGCTCTTCAAAGGCATCCCTACATAGAGCTCATTGTAGCTATCCACATGTAATGGAGTTTAAGGTATTTATTACACTGGTCAGATGTGTATTCTGTGGGAACTGGTATATTTAGGGCATTGGTTGGCAGAGGCGGCCCTAGGTAATTTTCAATGGTAAGCAAATGGTATTTTGGCGCCCTCCCCCCAACCAATCATTGATATATATTTTCTGTTCGTCATGGGAGTTCTGTGTGCCATATTTGGTTCAATTCCATCATTGGTGGAGTTCAGAATGCTCTTTGATTGTAGGTGAACTATACATCCCAGTAACTACACTTGCCGCACTTGCTCCCTTGCCTGGCCCGCTTTGGGTCTGGAGGCATGCCTGAAGACCCCGGCATGTGCACCAAAAGTCACCTCTTCTCCTGACTTTCTCCTCAGCCATTGGGACCAAGAGAGAGAGAGAGAGAGAGAGGTGGAGATGCCCACCTTTCCTGAAGGTAGGCGCAAAAACAAAGGAGGGAGCGGAGGTGGGAGATACCTCCAGCCGGAGGGGCTCTCTCTCTCTCTCTCTCTGGTCCCAATGGCTGAAGAGAAAGTCAGGAGAAGAAGTGACTTTTGGTGACACGTTGGGGTCTTCAGACACGCCTCCGGACCCAAAGCGGGCCAGGCGGCGGCTCCGCCCCTTGGCCCACCCGCGGGGAGAGGAGAGGAGGCGGGTGGAGCGCCAGGGGATCGGGAAAGGGAGCCGGTCATGGGGAAGGGATCGAACGCAGAGAACGATTGAGCGCCGGCTCTGCTTGCACACCCAGTGGCCGGGTGGAGCAGGAACGAGAGGGGCTAGGCGAGGCTCAAGGGCCCGGCCCCTTTGGGAAGAGGATCGCCCGGCAGCGAGGCAAGAAAGCCGAGGCTCCCCCCGGACTGCTAAGGCTGTTGTGAGCTGAGGGGGCGCTCCTCAAGTGGCGGTCGAGGGGCATTTACAGAGGCGCCTCTGCGCCCCTGGCAAAAAAAAGTGTTCTGCGAGCGCTTACTTCGCGTAATGGACGAGCCGCCCCTGTTGGTTGGGCAAAGACATTCCTGGCCACAACCAAGGATTGGGAATCTGAGGTCAAGACTGGACCCAAAAAGCCTTAAAGTATGAGCCTGCATGTTATCCTGTCCATCACATGTTCATCAGGCTGGCATTCTTCCTTTTGAGGCACCCTCTGAACTTCTTTGGGAAAAGTTTGATGCAGAGCTAATGACTCTGTTCAGCACCAAAAGTTGCAGGACATTTTTTTCTTTTGTCTTGTATGGAAATTTATTTGTTTTTCAGTTCTGTGCACATTATTTCTTGAGGGAGAAAATGCCCTGCTGACTTCAGCAGTATCTCTTCTGCTAAGTCACTGTACTTCTGCTTACGTTCAGAAAAAGTTTCTCCTTGTGTTCTGCTATCTATTATGACTTAACTCTAATTGCCAGTCCCAGGTAGAGTTGATGCATTTAATCAATTGATGAATGCTAAGTCAACACTTATATAAACTGCATCATTCAATAGGTTTACTCTAGCTGGAGATAGCAATTAGATACAGGTCTTAGTGTTGCACTCACTGATTTTATTAGCTACTGAAAAGAAAAGAATTTCTCAAAACAAATACTTTTAATTGGGGACGGGGGATACTTATCAAGATAAGTGATGATGATGGTGATTCAGAAAAGTAGAGAAGGATGACCATAGCCTAAGGACACAATAGGGAAACATGCCAATGCGGCTTGAACAAATTTCCTGTTACAACTCTCCTCAGAGCTGCAATATGCCCTGTTAAAGGGCCATCCATACCAAAAGGTACCTCAGGCAACAATTACTGAGCATCATGAAATAACAGCAAGCCGTTAAGTATTTAATTGTATTTCTACTGTGATGGATGGAGAGGAGCTTGTGGAATTTTCTGTTTCACAATTTAAAATAACTAGACTGGCTTTGAAGTTCTAGGCATCTTGAATTGGGTCAGCACAGGGCATCATTTGCTGCTTTTTCTTCAGGCAGCTAAATAACTTGGGCTGGAGAAAATATTCAGGCATGTATGCTTTGTAATTTTCCTTTGGAAGGTCAAACGAATGAAGGGTGGTTTAGACCAGGAGAAACTGCAGAAGGGAAAGGCTAAACTTCTCCAGCTTATATGAATTCTTGTCCTGGCATTGAATGTTTGCTGTATATATGCTGTGCTCCACCATGAGTCTCTTTCAGGGTGAGAAGGGCAGAATATAAATGTTTTAAATAAATAAATAAATAAATAGGCACACCACCTACATTTGGATACAGAAGAATGTAGCGCATTTGGAATAATTGTCTGTATGTGGTTCCTATTCAATAAAGGCTGATCCCTATGGTGCCAAAGGGATCATTCTTTATTTTAATTAGACCAAAACACTAACAGGTGATTGTACTATTACAATAAATTTAGATGGAGATACTCACTGTGGTAGAAAAACAGAGTTTTACAATCATGCATGAAAAACAACACAAGTGTAGCAGGTACTCTGATCCATTGAAAACAGATTAACAAGGAGAAATGTTAGTGCTGATTCATGGCCAAGGGTAGTTGGGTACCTGATGCAATGAGGGAACGTTCCCCTCTTTGATCTTTAACATATACCCACACATCATATACAAATCTATAATTACACGAGGTCAGGCAATAGATGAGGATACAATTAACTCTCTTGAAATTTGTGGTTTATATTTTAGTGATGAATTTATCTGTACATAGATTGCTTTTATATTTTATAAATTTTCAGATTTATATATATTTACTTTTATTGAACAATTTCCATTGATATATTTTCTCTCTTTTGGTCAGACTTGTGAATGAATATGGAATATTATTCCATGGATAAATCAAGGAGTGGAAATTGTGCTGAGTTTCAAATATGTTTTAAAAACATATCCATTTATAAATATGTTTACTTATTTAAAGTATATTTTAGAGGTGGTATTTCATTCTGGTAACTACGACCAAGCGTGGGCAATTTTTTTTTGCCTTGGGGCTGCATTGTGTGCCTGGCCAGGAGGGCTAGGCCACAAGGGATGGAGGCCGGGAACACCCTGGGTGGGGAGGTCCCTGGAAAAGACAGGGCCAGAAAGGAGCAGGGCAGGGCCCGACTCATCCTCAGGTTGTCCTCCCAGCATAAGGACGGGGCTGCTCATTCCATCCTTATGCTGGGAGGAAGGTAGGACATACAGTGTCTGCTCTGATCCTCCTTCCCATCCTCCTCCCCCAATCCTCGGGCTGTCCTCTTGGCATTATGCCAGGAGGAAGGTGAGACAGGTGACGGCTGATTAAGTTCCAGAGGGCTCTCATCTACTGTGTGCCTCCCTCAAGCCATTCTCCTGGCATAAGAATGGGGTCACTCACACTGTCCTTATGCCGGGAGGAGAGTGAGACACACAGTGACTGAGAGCACTCCAGAGGGCTCTTAGCTGCTACATGCCTTCCTCCCCCATATTTTTGGCAAAAGGGTGCATCAGGCCACCATGTCCTAATGCCAAGAAGACTGGGAAAATCAGGAGGACCTGGGCTTTACTTTGCATATGGCCCCTGGGCCTTACTTTGCCCATGCCTGTATTAGCTGGAAAGTTGGAGGTCATTCACTTACCTCCTTCTTTTTCTGTTTCTGTTTAATGTGTATGTTTTAGTGTAGCAGTTTAATGTGGTTTGTAGTGTCAGTTTTGTAAGTTGTAATTGTATTTTCTTCTTTTTGTAGACTTGTCTTATATATTGTTTCATATGATATAAGAATGTCTGTGTATTGGGGCAAACCTTCCTTGGCAAATTGAAAATTTCTCCCTCATTTCATATACAAATTAGTTGCTTTAAATTACTGATTTTAAAACAGTTATTTTGTACTGCCTTCTTATACTGCATTATAGATGTTACATTTTATTGCAAAATAAAGTTTCACACTGTCTTGCACACTCGATTATATATGATTTTACAGAACTAGCTTAGATATTTTATCATTACATGACATAAACCACAATTATGTGCCTTCATATACTTGAGTCAGGTTTTATTTTCTACTGAAAATAAGTATTTTTCTGTTAAGAAATTACTTCTAGTAATGTGCAAAGTTGGTCTAACACTGTCCCAGTGTAGATAAACAACAATATAACAATAATATCATTTATTATTGCGATCCTATAATTCATTCTTGATA